TCTGGATAAATTCAGATTGTGAGACATCCTTTCAAATCATTAAAAAGTTAGTAGAACCTGTTTTTGCCTGTGAACCTGCTCATTTGACTTGAGATTATTTTCCTAGTGACTTCATAATGCCTGTTCCCTCCACTAGTCAACTTAGCATATGGAATTATAAACATCGTCTTTTAACTAGGCAAAAATATATGCTATCTTACAGCATATATTGTGAAACTGAATGAAAACCCATCATTATCTTAAGGATTCATTATTTTTAAAAAGCTCTCATTTGTATACATTTGCAACAAAGGACATATTGTACAGTTTTTCATTGTTATTTTATCTGTATCAAATATCTTCTAATTCAAGTCTGTTAGGACTATGGCTTAGTAATCTAAAACTATGTCAAATTAATCATCTTTAAGTAAATGTTTAGTACCTTAAGAAAAGATCGGGTGTCATGCAAAGCTATCATAATAATTGCTAATTTATCTTTTACTAAGACTTGGGCATAAATGACATTCACTAGGAAAACTCAAAATTTTCTAACTGAAGCTCACTAGACTGAGAAGGCAAACCTCAGCTTTTTCTCTAACTTCTGGCCCATTATATTAATAGCTCATGAGCAAAGCCACCATGTTCATGTCCTTTCCTTGGATATTATTTTAATCTGTTCAGCCAACATGTTGTATCTCACTTGTCCTGTGAGTTATTCAGGCACCTTCTCCTATAGCACTCTGCACTTTTATTACATCGTTGTACTTAACGGGCCTTTCTGGGGATGAGTCCCTACTTTCCTTTGTGTTTGCAGTTGGAATCGAAGGTAATTGCACAGGTTATAAAAGTAACGGTTTTTGAGGGATGTTATCCCCGACTTGTCCTGAAGGGCTCACGTTCACTTTATGTATTATTTCAAATTGTATTATTAAAATGATCAATGTCATTGTTCTTTGCCTTGTGAAAACAAATCACAGCTCCTGGTTTGTTGTTTATCAAGGCCTATTTCCAGGCCTTTATTTCCTCTTGGATTAAAGCAGACTGAAAGTACATCTTTCTTTACACTTGTTTTTGAGTGTTGTATTGGTGAAACAATATTCATCTTTTCCTGGGTTTCATTCATCTCAACTGAAGGTGATATGTTGGTGAAATACCTAAATATTCTACACCTGAACCATGATTTTTATAAACGATGAGCATAACTAACTTCAATAAAGGGAACACTAATCAGATAAAAAGGTCCTTGGAAAGTTATGCAACTAGTAAGATAGAAGATGATAGCAAGCCTATAAATAGCAGTGAGATTATCAAAATATATGTGTGGGCTCGGCACCTATAGCTTAACCGGCTAAGGCGCCAGCCACGTACACCTAAGGTGGTGGGTTCGAATCCCCAGCCCAGACCCGCCAAACAACAATGACGGCTGCAACCAAAAAATAGCCGGGCGTTGTGGCGGGCGCCTGTAGTCCCAGCTACTTGGGAGGCGGAGGCAGGAGACTCGCTTGAGCCCAGGAGTTGGAGGTTGCTGTGAGCTGTAATGCCACGGCATTCTACCCAGGGGGATAGCTTGAGGCTCTGTCTCAAAAAGAAAAAAAAAAAAAATATATATATATATATATATGTGTGTGTGTGGAGGCTTTGTCTTTTGATGGCAAAATGTGTATTTCTTCACAGTATGATGATATCCATTAGTATATTTACTTATAGTATTTTATTTACTAATATAGTATTAGTATTTATAAATGTCTTTGTTCTTTTTAGCACTAAGATTCTATGACATTTCTTTAATTACATTCTTACATGGTGGAAATGATTTTACAATGTGAACATCAAACTACCACAGGGTGGGGTATTTAATGATTATTTTTACTGTACAATAGGATAAAAAGACATAAAAACAAATGTGAATCCGTTGTTAACTGTTTATATTATATTGCCATTGTGTAGTCCAGCATAAATGTGGGTAATTAGCTGATTTCCCTAAGCTTCAAGTAGTTTTCTTATTCCTGGATAGACAAAGTAAGCTTAACTTACCAAAAAACAAAACAAGCAAAAAACCCAACCAGTTAAAAATGCAAATTATTCCAACTACCTTTTAATAAACCCAACTTTCTGGTGTTACAAATCACCGAACCGAAAGATATTTTTAAGCAGCCTTAGTATCCAGATACATATTAGATATAAACAAATTGAGTTCCATTTGAAATGAATCTTAAAACATAGCACACAAACATCACAAACTCCCAGAGCACACTATAAAATACGTGTGTAAGGAATATAAAGATTTAGTACATAAGAATGTGATATTACATAAAAAACTCCTCAAATACCTAAAATTTATTTGCTAAAGATTATTTATTGCACAATTTATCAGTTCGCCCTAAAAATAAAACATATACTACTTTCAACCTCTCAATTCAGCACATAGTCAAATTCATTTTCTCAAACTAAAGTTCTATAGCATAATACGAGTAAAACCTTTGTTATTGAGTTAGGGTAGGGAAAACTTCTTAACTTTTAAAACAAATTCCTTAAGAGTTCATGAAACCATTTCACAAATCCTAGAAGGCACACATTATATTTCCTATCATAATAAATACTTAAGTACTTCATCTTTAAAAAAGAAAAAGCTGTACAGAATACAAAAAGTGTACGTTTCATCTATTAAACAAATTTACAACTTATATGATTAGTTATTATAGAAGAACATACCTAACATTCACATCTAAAGAATCATCCCCCTAGTTTTATGGAGTAAGCAAAGAACTGGGCTCATTTATTTGATAAGGGTAATAAAAACATTTTATATTTCACAGTAGATCATTTAGTGTCTTGGAGCTCACATTGTAAAATAAAAAAGGTTTGGGCATGATTAAGTCACTGAGCTCATTGCTACATAATTCCTTGAAAGGTGAAAGACTCTGGGGATAAAATCATTGGCTGTATCTGGAGAGATCCCAAACTTTGTAAAGTAACTCTGTTTATTTTAAGAAACATTTTAAAATTAGATAATTTGAATTAAACTCAGCAAGTCTAATCCAAAAGGACAATCTAAAATCATAGAGCTGGAAAAGATCTCAGAGTATCATCTGAGGGTTTTCAGAATAGGTTTCATGGAAAACTAAGATTATATGAGGAGATTCAGGGTCTGCAAATTTGACTTGCATTTAAAGAAATTTAAAAACTTAATTTAAAAAACCAATTCCTATTGTACATATCTGCTACTCACCAAATTCAAATATACTAGATTTCACCAATGCATTAATGTATTTTTATTGATTCACTTAATAGTTATTATAGTATATGAAGTTTTATAATATATAAGGAAATTTATATTAACAAAACATGAATTTTATACAGTGGGGTGGGGTGTGTGTGTTTTTGCACACATTGTATAAGATTTTACCTGAAAAATAAGGTTCTATTGCTAAAATGCTGTCAAAACAACCGAAAAAAAGTCCCCATTTCCAAAACAGGAACCTACAAATAAGGATAAGAGACTATCTCAAAGTCACACAACCACTGAGTGCACGGCCAGCTGATACGTCTGATAAAACCCCAAGTACTCTGCTTGCATAAACCTCCATAGGGAGTATCTGGTTATTCAGCAGTTAGCTGGCCCCATCATGAATGCCAATGGATTAGAGTCCAGTATTTTTTGGGCAAAATTAAGCTGTCTTTGGTCAGATATTTTTCCTTGAAATACACTTTATTTGCACACCTATTAAAATTTTAGTATCCAAAAAGTCTGTCATTAATAAGCAGCAATTTGAGTGCCTCAGTTTAGGAAAATAGTAATATTTGCTACTTACCAATTATAGGTCAGAAAAGTTACATGGAATGTTAAAATATATGTTAAAGGAAACATATTCTTTTATTATAAGTTAAATGCTAATGTTAAAAATTCTAATTGATAAAAAATGACTGAGGTGCTATTAAAGATCACAATCCATTATTACTATATTCTTTTTAGAGAATTTCAAATGAAGTACAGTGAAACAGTAAGAAAACCAAATTAGATTCTAATTTTCAAAGGTTTTTATTTTGCAGTTTTTGGCTGGGGCTGGGTTTGAACCCGCCACAGTATATGGGGCCAGTGCCCTACTCCTTTGAGCCACAGGTGCTGCCCTTTCAAAGTTTCTTTTATGTATATACAGTGAAAAGGCCGCACCCTATTTTTTCTCTTAATCTAAGAAATCTGTGGACTTTGAAACCTCAAAAAGATGCCTTCAAGTTAAGAAAATAAAAGCACCATAAACCAATTTTGAATCACTTATCCTAATTTGAAAGTATAAAATTTAGTATATGCCATACAGAAAAATTTCCTGTGCAAAACACTAAGATGTGTGAGCACTAACAAAGCCATTTAGAACAGTTATCCAGCTGTCTGGAAGCATTTCCTGAACATCCAAGAAGAGCCCTCAGCAGAAATCTACTTGCAAAGCAAAGTCATGCTCAACTTGAAGAGACCTCACACGAATTGTACAGCATGGGAAAAAACAAAACAAAACAAACCTTAAGGAAAAAACATACAGTAGCTCCAACACACACAGCTAAAATATTATCATTCTGGATTGTTTCAAATAAAAATTATTAAAGGAACAATAATTAACCACAAGAGGGCATACATCGTCCTTAGATTACAGCAGAAAGACTAGTTTTTAGTAGTTACATGCACTTTGATGTAGTCTACATTTTCAGTCATTTAAAATTTTCTCTCAGCCTCAACATTTTAATATTTAAGGTTTATTTTAAACCTAACTAAAAAGATTCCAGAATATTCCTGCCTTGCAAGACATTTTGTGTTTCAGCCTCTGGAAATGCTGCTGTTACCTTTAGCAAAGGATTCAAGAGCAATTAGTTCTAATACACATTAGAACAGATAAATAATAGGAGAGTATGGTCTAAAACCAGTAGCTGCTGTTACCTTTAGCAAAGGATTCAAGAGCAATTAGTTCTAATACACATTAGAACAGATAAATAATAGGAGTATTGTCTAAAACAGTAGCAAAATTTAGTTAACCATAAATGGAAGACATGGAAAATTTATTTTAAAAAATGGGGTAAATTGTCGGAATAGAAAAAATAAGAAGGCAGGGGAAATTGATTTATCTCTGTGTCTGTGCCACAACAACCCTGCATTCTTCCCCTATGACCAAAGTATTTGCAGCTCACAACAGCAACAGACCTTCACCCCATCGTCATGGCCTGTGGGGCTGGCCTGCCTCATCAGCCATGTTAAGAATATAGTTAGCCATATCATCTTCAGTGGGTGCATCTGACACCACCCAAGATTCATTTGCTCCAGTCATCTGTAGGCGACAAATAGGGCAATTCCTGTGTCGATCACTCCTATTAGAGAAGTCAAAACAAGAAAAGTTTGTTTTCTTTTTCTTCTTTTTTAAAAACAGATTTGTTTAAAAAGTAATACATGTATGTGGCTTTTAAAAAAGAACATTTTATAAAAGTATACAGCGAAAAATCAATCTTTCCCTCTATCTGAATCTTCGATTCTCTTCCCCATAGGCAACACAGTCATCAAATTCTTATATGTTCCTCTAGAGACAGACTAAGCATGATTAAGTTGTGTTGCGCATGTAACGTGTATGTATATATCACTGTTCTTTTTACTTGTCAATATATCTTGTAGACCATTATGTATTAGCATGTTTGAGCTGTTTATTCTTTTTAAACATAAGCTAATGGATATGCCATAATTTAACTAATCTCCCACAGAAGGACAGTTGGATTTTTTTCTATCTTTTGTTTGTTACAAACGCTGCACTTCAAATCCCTTTACCTGTGTTTGCTCTGGGAGCACATACACATATCTCTCTCCCTAAATAGGTAGAGTTTTCCTTTAGAGTCAAAATTCCTTGTGAGTTCTAAGAAGAAACTCTATAGCAACAGAAGACTTGGTCAAAGTACAAAGTGTAAATGTTTGTTGTGATTATTTAAATGGAAGCCATTACTCTAAGACTAACTTCCTGGGAGTGGCAGGACAATATATGATAAAAGGAAAGGGCATTATTATTTTTCTAAGTAATATCTACATGACTCTTAACAATATACCTACTTATTGCCTGCTTAAAGGTCTGATAAAAATTCCTATAGTTCATAAGCAATAGGAAGATTTCTTTAGGAAACTGTGTAAAAATGAGGTTTAACATAAAAGATGAACTTTACATGTAAAATAATTTTTCTGATAGAAAAAGAACTCATATATGATCACTTAAATAAGATTTTTTTCCAAATGGATTTTTTTGTCAAACATTATTTTGGAAATTTCAAAAATAGCGTATTTGAGCCAGAATATATATCCTCTAGAGAAAAATGTTTTTTTCTTTTCATCTCTCAGTGAAATCTGGAACCAAAGTAATCAAATTAGATCAATTACTCTTTGGCTTTTGTACAAAAATTTAGAAATGTGTTCCAAAAACTAAATGTGAAAGCTAGAGCTGGCATATATTATATTCAGGTTGATTTCTTGTTCTCCCGAGATATTTTATAAGATAATTATGTGTGTTCCTCTGTGCATAGAAATGTCAGAATTTAAAAATAGTCAACTTTTCTTTCTGCCCAACAGAGATCAGACTTATCTTCCCACAAAGAACAACTAAAATACAGGACAAAATACATGAAACAATGGTCTCATATAATGTTTCATATACATATAAAGCACTTATCAGGCAACAGATGACAGTGAACTCTAAGACTTGACAGGCAAAGAAGGTGAATCGTAAAAGTGCCCCAGCTTATTTCCCTGAGTGTTTTCAGGCCTCAGATCAAGAAGGGGGAACCTAGATGGAGCCCGGCAAACTCCCTAAATTGAGGAGACAGAGTTGAGCATCTCAGAATGCCAAGGCAGCTCGAGTTCACAGGGCAGGGTACTAGAGATCGCACAGAGAAAGAATTCTGGGGGTCTACAGAAGGCATCCCTCCAGTATGTTCAGCAGAACACTGATGAGCACGTGCATGTGAGAGAACTAAAGGAGGCTGAGGAGTCACCCAAAAGAATTTGGGGAACAGTATGAAGCTCACACAGGGCCTCGGATAATGCCTGTTCCTACCAGCCAGAGTGGAAACCTCATAATTCTTAAGGCCTTGAGTAGAGTACTTTGGAGGACTTGCCTCATTAGTGGGGCATAATTAGCTCCACACTAAATACAAGTACTGCTCTGGTCTTGCCTAACATAGTGTAAAAGCAAGACCCAAGTAACTATGTTTCAGAACAAAGCTCAAGAATATTTATAGGCTCTGGTGCTTCTAACTCAGTGGGTAGGGCTCTGGCCACATATACCCAGGCGGGGGGTTCCAACCAGGCCTGGGCCTGCTAAGCAACAATGACAACTACAACAAAAAGAGCCAGGTGTTGTGGTGGATGCCTGCAGTCCCAGCTACTTGGGAGGCGGAGCCAAGAGAATCGCTTAAGCCCAAGAGTTTGAGGTTGCTGTGAGCTGTGACACAACAGCAGTGTACTGAGGGCAACATAGACTCTGTCTCAAAATAATAATAATAATAATATTTATGGAAATACAAAAATATCCAATACCCAAAAAGGTAAAATTCACAAAATCTGGCATCTAATTGAGAACTATCAGATATACAAAGAAGTAGCAGGAAAATATAAATTATAATGATGAGAAAAATCAATGAAAACAACCCAGAATTAATACAGATATTAGAATTTTAAAAAAGCTAAAAGTTAGACTATTCAATATGTTCAAAAACCTAAAAGAAAGATCAAAGATATTAAGTGTAGACATAGAAGAGAGTAAAAAAACCCTTAAACTTCTAGAAATAAAAGCTAAAATACCTTAGGTTAAAGAAAATATACTGAATAGGATTAGTGAAAAGTCAGACATTGCATAAGAAAAGATTAGTGAATTTGAAAAGATACAACATTACCCAAAATGAAACACAAAGACTCAAAAAAGAAGAAAGTATCAGTGAGCTGTGGGATAACGTCAAGTAGGCTAATACATGGTAACTAGAATCCCAGGGGAGGGGAGAAAAGAAGATAGAAAAAAATTTTGAAAAAATAGTAGCTAAAAATTTTTCCAAATTTGATGACACTATAAAGCCTACAATCGAAGAAGCTCCATAGACCCCCAAAGCCTAAGAAACTACTCTAAGGCACATCATACTCAAAGTGCTCAAAACCAGTGAAAAGAAAAAACCTTCAAAGCAGTTAGATGAAAAAAAGAGACATTACCTACAGAGGAAAAAAGATAAGGATGGCAGGATTTCTTCTTGTAAGAAACAATGTAAGCAGAATGAGAATGGAGAAACATTGTTAATGTACTGAAAGAAAAAATACTCTTGGTTTATAATTTTCTATCAGAACAAAATCTTGGAAAAACAATATTCAGCCATTTAAGAAAATCCCAAGGAATGTACCAAAAAAACTACTGAAACTAATAAATGGATTTAGTAAGGTTACAGAATTACAAGATTGATACATAAAAATCCATTGTATTTCTCTAGTCTAGCAATAATCACAAATTGAAATTTAAAAAGTTGCATTAAATATGAAATATTTAGGGACAAATATGTCAAAAATCTGCAGTGCTGGCAGCACCTGTAGCATAGTGGTTACAGAGCCAACTACATGCACTGAGGGTGGTGGGTTTGAACCCGGCCCAGGCTGCTAAACATCAATGACAACTGCAACAAAAAAATAGCTGGGCATTGTGGCGGCGCCTGTAGGCCCAGCTACTTGGGAGGCTGAGGCAAGAGAATGGCTTAAGCCCAAAGAGTTTGAGGTTGCTGTGAGCTGTGACGCCATTGCACTCTACCCAGGCGACAGAAAGAGACTTTGTCTCAAAAAAAAAAAAAAAAAAAAAATTGCAATGCTGAAAACTATAAAAACTGGTGAGAGAAATTAAAGAAGACCTAAATAAATGGAGAAACATACTGTGTGTGAAGATCAGAAGATTCACTATTGTTAAGAAATCACTTCTCCCCACATTGATATATTTATTCAACCCAAGCCCAAACCCAGTGAAATATCTGTAGGGTTTATTGTAGCAATTGATAACCTGATTCTAAAATTCATATTGAAATGCAAAAGACCAACCTGGCACAGTGGCTCACACCTGTAATTCTAGAACTCTGGGAGGCCAAGGCAGGTAGATTGCTTGAGCTCATGACTTTGAGACCAGCCTAAGCGAAAGCGAGACCCCCATCTCTACTAAAAATAGAAAAACAGAGACAAGAGGATCACTTGAGCCCAAGAGTAGGAGGTTGCTGTGAGCTATGATGCCACTGCACTCTACTGAGGGCAACAG